GACTCCATTGATTTCCGTGCACTTGTCCCTCGATGCAGAGGAGTCCGACTGCAATAAAGGGAAGAGGTTTTTACCACAAGTGTGTACAGGAACAAACTGCATGTTAACGATCCCAAAAACCACCTGTGCTCTGCTGCCCCAGCTGGTGACACCTCCACAAAATGCCAGTCAATAAAATACTAGATGGGATTTCTGTGTTTAACTCAAATGCTTTTCTTTAGGTCTTGGTTTGGTAGAATGGTGGGGCTGGAATCGAATGCCTCATTGAAGGTGTTGATTGGATCGCTTGATACTCGCTCTGAGCTGAATCCTGAAAGGTGTTGAACACCTGCTATTCCAATTCACTTCATGGTTGGCTCCACACTCAATCATGGACCCTCTTTCTCTATTGAGAGAGATATTCACGGGGTATCTGGTTTTACGGGTTGTTTATAAACCAGAACTATAGTGAAATACACTCAAGACCCTTTACCCGCAGTGTCTGTTCTCTTCCATTTCGAGCAATAACCAGCATTCACAGTGCATCTGCTCCTCTCAGTGAACTGCCTTCTCTTCTGCATTTTCTTTTCAGTTGGGTGTCTGAAGCCAGAGGTGCAAAATGGAAACCTGCTCAATGCATTGGATGAAAAAATGTGGTACAATGTGAATGAAATCATTCCTTTCAAATGCTCTCCTGGGTACCAGTTTTCAAGCCATTCCCTCCTGCCTGCTACAGACAGATTTAGTATTACTTGTTTAGCGAACGGCAGCTGGACAGCATTACCAAAGTGTGTAAGTATCACTGTCCAGTTGGGTTTCTTGATGCACCCTGCCCAATTTGTAATATAAAGAATAGTAATAACCATGCTTTGATTGAATGAAGCAAAGGGTTAACTTCATGAGGTCTTTGCAATCAGATAGGAACACATGCCATTGATACACCATATGGTGAAAAACCATGTTTATCTGAAAACAAAACATATCATCCCTCACTACATCTTCTCCTATTTTTTTTAAAGCAATCTTCCTTTTATAGCAGCTGCTCCATGCAAAAAGTAAAATTTGGTGGGTAAAAATCACAACAGGAGGAAAACTTCCCTATTACAAACAGTCAGATTTTTCTAGGCAATTCAAGTGTGTTACTACTGTAATTAGTGAGATTGCAGTGTGCTCAACTCTATGTAAAAGAAAGGCTGGTTCCTGCCCATTGTGTTTATAATCTATGTGCCAGAACTTTGTTGCTCAAAGCCTCATCACTGTTGCTTAGTACTGTTAGTTTCTGTAGAATTGACTAGGATGTGAGGGTGCACAGCATGCTCAGGCCCTGAGGCAGATACATGTAACACACTGGACGATGGTTCAGACTCAAAGGAGCAAGCCTACTTGAGAGGGTAAGTCCTTCTCTTCTGCAGCATAACCATGTTCCCTCTTTGATTTACAGAACAAGCAAAGCACTTCTGATGTGTGTGAGATGGTTCCTGAGAACAGAGAGTTCAAAGTGTGTGGTATGCCTGCGGAGGAACTGAGAACTCTGCTGGAAGTGCAGAAACTGTATCTGGAGATTGAGAAACTGAAGCAGGAGCTAAAGTCACAATGAATTGCTGAGACCTGTGATCCATATTGTGATAAACTGTCTCCCCTTTGGATGCAGTTTATATAATTTCACTACAGAAAAGATAATTTTTACTGATGTTATAGAACTTGCTAATATAGCTAGTAACTCAGAATAGGCAGTAAATCAGGGATCAGATTTCCTTCCTGGGTGCTGTTTTTAGGATTTTTTTTTTTTGTTCTTTCCCCTTGAATTTCACAAATTTTGAGTTTCCACTTGATGATAAACTAGGGATTTCAGGTCCTTGTACAGGTTTTAGGGGTTATAGTGAAGGATTGAGTTGAGATTTGGTTTTACTTGAATAAATTAACCAAGTAGCATGGAAGCAAATTATCAGTTGATACGAGCTTTAGATCCTGTGCAAAAGGAAACTCAAGACTAACTTTAGCTTTGTAGACATCCCACAATTGCTGCTTACATTTAACTTTAATGCACCAAAACGTACACATTCGAAGTGGTGAATGGGTATTTAAATGCCCGATTTCCATACACCTTAAGAGCAGTGACGTTAATCAATTCCTTCACCACTCTAAAAATGCCACACGTACATTAGGAGTAGATGAGAAGCAACCATCTGAGGCATTTCCCCAATAAACAATAGGGGTGTTCTCTAACCTACACCTTTGTGATCAAATAATTATTTCTGCCCTGCAGGGCTACAATAAAATGTAATTGTAATAACGGCTGATTGTCTTTGTTTTTATAACTTTGTCCCTTTGGCTGTAAGGCAGGGAGATGCCCAGCGTGTTTAAAGAATCGTTTCACTGAGAGTGAAGAACTAATTCCGCCTCCTCCTCCAGCCCAGTGATTAGTCTGAGCGAGCCCATGGAGTCTGATCCTTCCCCTCGCACCTAGAGTGGTCTGGGTTGAATTGAACTGGCAAAGTGGTGGAAGGGAAACTTGTCCTGTGGAATAAGGGGGACGTGCCAGTTTTTAGCATTTTTACCACTGTTGATGGACCCAGAGGGATCACGGATTCAGCTACATTCCTGGGGTAACAGCACGAATTAATTTGGCCAGTAGGATAAGGAGGAAAGATGGCTGGTAAATGCTTCTGTCTCAGAAATCGTTGCTGCAGAGGAGGCTTTGCTGAGTGAGGGGCATCGTATCGGCCGTCTTA